CATGTGATTGGCTTAGACTGGAGGAGACATTTGATTGGCTATAGATGAGAGAAATTACAAGTACGAATCGGGTGAGTGTCAGGGGAGTCTCAAAAAGCCCACACACGAATGCACAGCGATCCGTGCACCGTGAATCCTTCTGTGTGCATATGTGTATTATGAGACTGTTCTGAGCCCATACAGATATACTATGATATTAAATAGTACCTATACAAGAAATGAAAATCCAAAATGTAACATAAGAAATGACCGGATGAGGTTGATGTGTTTACTTGACACAAAAGGAGAACGTCAATAGACACAGCAAACCTAATTGCACATCTTAACAAACATTTTAAGTGTGTTGGTTGCTGCTAGAAGGTATTTTTTTACTTCCTGTGAGTCTTACTTGCAAATGTAACTAACTGGCATTCAAACAAAATGTCTCAAAGTGGTGTAGACAGAGACATCAGAGGTGCAGTATAATGTTTTATACGAATGTGGCATTGGCTAAAGACTTACATGCAGGTGGGGTGGAGAGTCTGCAGGAAGTGATCACAGCTGATGAGGGAAGTGTAAACAGCTGAGATGGGTGGGGCCGGTGAGGGGGAAAGGGGAGAGTTTTCTTTTCTTTTTTTACTTGAACAACCCAGTCAAATGACAATGCATTAGACGTTACAATACAGAGTACAGGGAGTATTGTGCAAGAAAATAAATGCTAATTCAACAACAAACACCAGCACAATCACATCTTAAAGAAGTAAGGAATCAACCAGCAACAATGTCTCTCAAAGCTGTCTTTAAGTAATAACATTTCAGAAGTTTAACATGAATTTGAACTGAAGTTTTCAGGAAGAGTAAATACATCTGGCCTTGTGAATACATTATAAAGTTAAACAAGTTAGTTTTCTTTATACAACACAAACATACAGTGCTCCTTTTTTAAGGACCTGTGATCACAAAATAATAAGTAGAATGAATACATAACCCCCTAATCTTTCCCACAGTTAAATATTTAGTAAATACCTAACTGTTGAGCTAATGTGTTCCAAGCTAAATACCCTGATGACTTTAGATAAACCATCTTTTCTCCACTGTTATGTTTTGAATCACCACACATTAAATGAAATCTGCCTTAAAGTAACGTTCAAAGACACCCCGGTGAACTCAGTTGCGGGTTTAGTCACACGGCATGGTGTTTCCAGCAGCAGGAAGTGTGAAAACATTTCGAGGTCCTGAGAAATAAAGTGAGCTGAGACAAAAAACACAAAAGCTGTGAGGGCTGTGACGCTTTGAGATGTGTGTCACGTTGTACAGCAGACATTCCTTCTCCGCTGCGGCTGTTGTCAAAGAACCAGAGCGTGGGAGGAGAGGGCGGGGGAGGCTGGGGGGAGAGGGCGTGGGAGGAGGGGGAGAGGGCTGGGGGGAGAGGGCGGGGGAGGCTGGGGGGAAACCACTGCATTCAATGAAGTGTTAGTGTGAAAGAGGCCTCCACTGCAAGGAAATGGAAGCTACGCTGATCCGTGAAACAAGCTCACACTGACGGATAAAACATGGTGCAGACTGTCAACATTCACAGGGTTTAATATCATATTTTAACTAAAGATGTAACGGCTACAAACAACACTGCTGCTAGGGGTGCATACCGGTTCCCGGTATTACCGAAATACCAGATACTGGCGGCTACGGTATACCGTACCAAAATCAGACCCGGTTTTTGATACTTTTTTTTATAAAAGTGAGGCGTAATATCCTTAAACTGGCGCCCAAACCGTCGCCGTGAAATTCCTCAAACGAGTCACTTTAGAAAATCTAAAGTGTGGCTGCATATGACTGCCAGTCTGAATGGTGGGGTCTGTAACCACTGCAAGAAGTTTATTTCTGGGAAAGGAGGCAACTAGGGATGGGTATATGTTTGAAATGTATCGATTCCGGTTCTGCTTATCGATTCCGTTTCTCATCGATTCCCCGTTTCGATTCCAAAATTGTAAAAGAATGAGGTCAAACGTTTAGATAACAAAAATATCTTTATTCTTTTAAGCTTTAACTGACATTTTTACAAATAAAAAAATATACATGCAATACAAATGTATTGCACAATAGCTGTGCTTTATTTTAACTGAGGTGTGCCTGTGGCAAGCTATTAACAGGCATTACACTGTGCCTTGTCTTTTTCTTTTTTAGTGCAGTGGAGCCTCACTTTAGAGCGTTTACCGCGATCCATCTTTGGTGTTATGAAGTGACTGAGCTCGTGAACTGTCTACTGGAAGGCGGGGGGAGGCTCGCTGCGGGGCAACCACCTCTGTCGCCTGTCAGCGCAACTTACATGATGCCGTATTAAGGGCGGTGCCGGCCGTCAGCGTACCGAGCGGGCCGTCAACGGCCCGCTGACGACCGGCCGTTCTGTGATTCTCCAGAACACACAGATGGCCAGTCCGTCCTTACCCTGTATTCCACTGCGGCGCTGCCGCGCAGACGGACCCGGTGGAATACAGGGTCTACCGCGTTTAGGAACTGCTAAGCAGAACCGAAATTGTGTATTTTGTATGGGTACCCGGTACCCGGCATTTTCTTATCGGTTCTCATCTGGAACCGAGTTTCGGTTCCCAACCCTAGTGGCAACACATCCAACCTCCAACCAATGATGTCTCGTATGGCAACCAAGTACCTTTGTGTTCAGAGAAGCAGCTTGCCAAGCAAGAGAGTGTTCAGTTCAGCAGGTGGTATCCTACGCTGTGAAAGGGATCCAGAGCAGATATGCTCATCTTCTTGAAGATGAATGCACAAGACTGAACTGTGATGGGATTTGTTTTCTTTCATCAGGCAAATGTTGATTTTAATGATGCTATTTGTTTCATGCGCAATGCCGAGATCTCATGATCCTTTATGTGTTCTCTGGTCAGTGGAATCTTCGGTTGAATATTGATTGTACTGGTGCTATTTTCTTTTTGCATTGACAAGATGTACTATTCCCGCCTGATGGTTGTTATAAATGATATTGCAGAATCTGTTTTCATTGTTTTTTCAGTACTAAAAGGTCCAAGTCCCACAATTGAATTTAATATTCATTTGACATGTTAACTATATCATAAAGCGCTTCATGGGAGTAATTGCGGGATGATTCAATTTTTCCCTTATGCAACATGAGAGTATCACGATATGTATCGGTATCGTAAAAAAGTCAACGATATGCAACCCTAACTGCTGCTGCAGCACAACAACAGTTTGATGCTAAATGATCATTTGTTCATCAAATACTTATTACATTCTAACCGTAAACTCTTGAAGATTTGTTTTCCTTTTATGCTTCGTAGATTAATGAAGTTGTTAGAAAAAGTACTTTTTTTAAAACATTTCTCAAAATGCTGTGATCCATTATGACACACACTCCAAAACAACATAGACAACTGACAACAGATATAAAAAAAGTTAAACCGTTACAATTTGTTTTAACTGTGATTGGAATGATGTTTAGCGATGAATTGCCTATTTTTTTATTATGATTTCTCTTCCTGTCTTTATACACCAAAGTGAATTCCTTCCTACGTGGAAATCCACTTGACAAAGAACTTTGTTTTGATTCTGATTTATTAAAAATTCAACAAAATCACATTAATATTTACATGTACAAAAACAAACTGGCATTCAATGTGATTGCGAGGGGACAATACATGTAAGCATTGTTACATTCGATAATAAAGTGCATGATGCAGGGTCTGTAGATCTACAGACCTTGTCCCTGTGCAAAGAGGTGTCTTCTAATGCAGATAATAAACTGGTTGTTGGTGAATGTCCCACACTGATTAGCTTATCCCCAAAGAATCACATGTTTCCTATGATCCACACGAGGAGTACTCAGCTTTTTGTTTCTGCCAAGTGTTTGTTCCCTCCGAGGGAACACTTCCTGGTTTGTGCATGAGGCAGCTGTTTTATAGTTTCCCTGCCTCAGCACAAGACTACTTGTTGTTTTACGCTTCAGATCATTATTATCTTCTTTAAAAAATATGATTAGCTGCAGCTGTAGATCACTTGTATTACTTCTGCTTTATTTGAACTCGCATAGAAACCAGTTAAACTATAATATATGAACACAAGTTCTGTTTCTTTGACTGTTTTCAGTCCGAAACGTTGGTGTGAAACATGCAGATTAAGAGGAAGTTGTGTGTAATTGAGCTTCCTGTGTTATCAGTGATTCAGTTAGCTCAAAGCTAATCTAAGAAACCCTTGTGTGCTCTGCAAACTGTTTCAGGTCTCTTGAGTGGAGATAATACATTCAAATCCAAGCACATGTGTTGACTGACTGATAAAGATGACGTCTCTTTGGGATAATTACAAACATGTACATTATTGGAATAGGTATACACAGGGTTCCTACGGTCATTAAAAACCTGGAAAAGTCATGGAAATTCAAAATACTAATTCCAGGCCCTGGAAAAGTTATGAAAAACAATATTTTTCCCAAAGTTTTGGAAAAGTCATGGAAATGTAACCAAAGTTACATCAAATATAATTTATATTTTATCTAATCGCCGAAATAGTAATACTATAACAATAATACATACTGAATCGTAGAGTAATGAAACGTAAAATGGCATTTAACTGTCGAGGTATTTTGCTGGTGAGAGATTTTTACAATCACGCCCTAGTCTAGTCTACAGTGGCTTCAGTCTGTAAGAGCTAGTAAGCCTACTATTTCATTTGTTTTAGATAGGCACAACATGTTTCATATGTAAACCTTATTTTACAGCTTACCATGTTAAAATAAAAATGTTTCAGTAGTACCGCTGAGAAAGAGTACTTTTTTTGGTCATGGAAAATGAGGAAAAGGTCATGGAAAAGTCATTGAAAATCATTGGTGAAAAAGTGTATGAACCCTGTATACAGATCCTTAACTTAAGTAAAACACTAATACACCACTGTTCAAATACAGTAGACATTGGAAAAAGCCTCTATTCATAACAAACATTGAATACAATGATATATTGAAATGTAGTTGTTATTTAATTTGAATAAATCATAACAGTCTCTTCTCTCTTTCTCTGCAGACGGCCTTAAGCTCCTTCTTCCAGGAGGCCAACATCCCCACTCACCACCACCAGATGGTAAGTCCATTTATTCCCCTTAAAACATAATCCCTCGCAGTGGACAGATGAACCCGCTGACCTGCTGCTCACACATTCACTGCTCTGAAAAACAGGCACAGAAAGAGCCGTTTTATTGATGATAGCAGCAGTTTAACACCATTTGAGTTCTTTACTACGCATGGAGAAAATCTATCAAAAGAAATGAGTTTAAACCAAACCAACATGCGCAGGGTTTGGAATACAGGACTATCATATGATATAAATATATATAGTCAAATGAAATAATATTGTGTTTTATAGAAAATATGTAAACTACAGCATGTGTATCAGTGTGTTAAACATAATAGTATGTTTGTGATTTAGCGCCCACTCAGTGCAATTCACTTATAAACCACTGCCCTTAATATAGACAGCTGTAAGTTTACACATGCATTTATCTTTACAATATTTATGGTTGCTAAAATTGCACTTCATCGCATTTTTTGAAAGAAAAATCAGGAGAAAATGTACTTTTGAGACACTATTTTTGTTTGTGACACCATTTTCTGGTTTGTCTGTGTCAGCAACACACTCAAGATCTGGCTGGACTGAGCGTAAAGGTTTCTTCAACTGCGTCAACATTTTAAAATGACTTCAACTAACGTTCATGTACATGCTAGCTAGCTAATATTCATTATGCTAAATGTTAGTTAAATATCTAATACGAGTGAAATCAAATATGAATACATTTAACTGTGCCCCTTTAGTAGAAAGGAAATTCAAAACATTAAATTCCTCAAGGATACCAGTCCGGTTAACTGAGCTAACAGCTAACTAGCAGCTACTGCTAGCGGTTAGCTTTACTTTAGCAACAAATACAGCTGTGTGACCCTCAGGGAACCCCATGAAAAAGAAAGCTGGAGCACATCAGAAACATAAAAAATATTTTACATCAAATATTCTCAAGTTTGACCAAAATCAACTTATTGACATTAAAGCACAGGGTTGGCCAAAGTGGGAATTAAAATGATTTAAAAGCTTATTTTTCTAAACTGTAAAATTGTTACATAATGTGGCTTTATGCTTTCTAAACAGGCAGATTCAAGTTAGTTTGTTTCTGTTGAAAGCTCGGTAATCCCACGCCCTCCGAACTACCCACAGTGAACACGTTACTGTGTTTAAAGGGTGAAGGGCACTTTGGACTCTTTTGGAGCGTTTTACGTTTTCTGTCCGTTTGGCTGGATTTCACATTTATCTTATAAAACTTCAGTTTATGTTCATTTCTCTTCTAGGTAGGAAATTAAATTTAGAGTGAAACACATCACACAGGGCGTGTCAGACTCTCACAGGAACATTAAGTATGTGTGCTGTAAAGAAGGGAGTGTTTAATCTTTAATTACACTGCGTCACACAATAATCACTCATTCACTGACAAAACGCTGAATGAAGGAAATCATTATTCTGTGGCAAACGCTGTGTACTCAACTGCATTCAAGTACACGTTACTTTTTTACATCCTTATGTCCAGAAGTATAATCAACACATTTTTACTTAAAGTATCAAAAGTAGAAGTACTCACTATGCAGAATAGCTGTTTAGAACAGTATTATTCTGTTTTATCACTAAAAAATACATCTTATATAATTGTAATGTTCGTCATTGTTGAGCCAATAGTTATTTTAAAAAAAAGTATTTCAGTACTGATCATATTATATCAGCATATCATTCCACTCCATAATTAATTGAAGCCTAAATTAGCATAAAACTAAAATATAAGTACGTTTAAATAGTACTTAAGTCCAATACTCTTCCTCTCCCCTTCCTCCTCTCGTGTGTGTGTACGTGCCGGTGGGTCGCTCTAGGCGGAGCGAGTTGGAGCTTGTAAGGAAGGAGGAGAAAGTGTGTGAGAGTCGATGGGTTTGTTATTATTTTGGGTGCAGTGCGGTGACATCATCTCGCCTGAGGCTCCGCTGTCTGTGTGTGTTTGGAAGAATACAGCTGCAGAGGTCTGAGAGGAAGAGTGAAGCAACTGAACTCAGGGGGGAGCATCAGCTGCAACACACACACACGCACATGCCCACACACACACGCACACACAGCTCCTCGGGCCCCGTGATCATTGTTGCAGCATTAATGAACCTTTGATGAAAGACGATGAGCTGAACTTTGTCCCACTCTTCATCATGCTCAGTCGAAAAGGACAACTGTAAAGACAAAATAAGGTCCTATTGATTTATGAATAAGCGTTTCATAAAGATGACTCAGAAGTAAGGCTGCACACTATGAGTAGAATATGCATCATATTGAATGAACTGAGAGGTTTTAAAGTGAACTTAGTTCTGCTTCCTTCACTACAAATGGATTGTTGAATTAAAACATGAAAGGACATTTTTTCTAACTCTTTTACGGAAACAGATCAGAGTAAACTTTTCTACTGATCATCTATTTAAACTCTCTTCTTAAAAAATACATTTTAAATATCTTTCACAATGTAAAACAATACAGTGTGGACAAAAATATGGGAATTTCCACCTACATTGTGTGTTTTCAAGGTGAATGCATCAATCTGCTGTTATGATCATTTTAGAAAGTATAAGGGTAGATGTAGCTATGTCATAGTTATGCCATGATACATAAGACATGTGTCAAACTGTGATGTAAAGATATTTAAGAAGTAGTGTATAATGATAAACTAAATGAAATAAAAACGGATTCTTTGTTTACTTCGATAACATAATGACATCATGATGTAACACTCGCGCTCCTTTGGCTAGCGCTCCAACACATTGTACGTGATGGCTAAGGGGCGGGACATGTCTAAGCTGTTGACCAATCACACCAGAGCCGGGCAGCTAACCAATCAGAGCAGACTGGGCTATGGTTTCAGACAGAGGGTGAAAAGAGGTGCTGCAGCATGAGAAAAATAAAGAGCTTTTTGAACATTAGAACATGTGAAAGTAGAGGCACAAGATACAACTATTAAGCTGAACTGACTTTAAAATGTAATGTGAGAAAAAAGGTCAGAGTTAAAGCAAAGGTTTAATACAAAAAATGCACTTTTGGTAACGGACCCTGGTAGAGAGAGTAAAGTGTTTTGTGTTGGCATGTAGAAAAATGTATTACAGCAGTAAACAGCTGAGTGTTGATTTTGTCAGAAGCATCTTTACTGTGTGTGTGTGTCCGTGTGTGTGTTCTGAACATAACAGCTGAGAGAAGCCTCCTCTATTTCTGTCTGCTATCTGATCTGTGTGTGTGTGTGTTTAAATGACTCTTTAATTGATGTTCTCCCTGAAGACGTTTGGCATTTAGAAGTGTGTCACACACAGATCACACGTTTGTCCACAGTTAGATGCTAAAGCAGTCTGCCGTGTCCAATAACAGATGCTTTCAGTATTTCTTTACTGATAATTCAATCAGAGGTTTCCTCTTTTAAAATTTGAAAATTATATTGACTTAAGCCTATTTTCATTTCATGTAGATACCTTTTTTTTTTAAACTGATGCATTAGGGAGAGATTAAGTTATCAGAGCTGCAGGGGAAAAACAATAATTTTTAACATGACCCGGTTTTATTCAGTCTTTTAATCACCTAAAGAGATCCTAGTGTTACATTACATACATTTTGTGTTTCATATCAGTATTTAGTGTCTCCATGCTTTAATGTTCAAAAAGCTCTTTGTTTTTCTCATACTGCCTGTGCTGCAGCACCTCTTTTCACCCTCTGTCTGAAACCAGAGCCCTGTCTGCTCTGATTGGTTAGCTGGCCGGCTCTGTTGTGATTGGTCAATCGCTTGGAGATGTCCCGCCCCTTAGGCTATCACGTACAATGTGTTGGTGGGCTGGCCAATAGAAGTGCAAGTGTTACATAGTGATGTCACTGTGTTACGAAAGTAAACAAAGGAGTCGTAGAGCCTCGTAATAGAGGCGTTTGAGGCAGGGGAATTATGGTTGGCAAAACATTCAAGAATTTATTTTGTAGTATATATCAGAGTCCTGCACGGGTCTGATTTTGAAGACCCGCTCCCGCCCCGCGACGTGCAATACCGAACCCGCCCCGCTACCCGCACATATTGCCAATTAGTTCCGCAACCCGACCCGTCGGTACAAGATCCGCAAACCGACCCGAACCCGCATATATACAGTATATGAGCAGTGAAAACGTGCAATTATTAACACACGCAGTTGCATATTTGTCTCAAAAAGCGTGGGATGTTGGTTATTCTCTCCATCTATGACACCAAAAGCCTCCCAGACGTTGGGTTTCGCTCTTGAGGAAGAGTTATTGAAAATACTGTATTCTCCACTAGAGAGCTTCACCTCAGCCATTTTGAATGTGGCGCGCTCAGCAGCAGATTGATGCGCTGCAGAGGTTATGATTCTGCATCGGATTCTCATCGGGTCCGACCCGATGCAGGACTCTGGTATATATGTTGTTTTTACATCTTTGAGGTTGTTTTGAATTTAATTGCATATAGTTTATTATTGTACTTTACCTCTTAGATATCTGCACATCACAGTTTGACTTCACATGTCTATTTTGTTTAAGTGTGTGGGAGAGAAAACTCCCTCTGGAGGGAGCTTTGGGATTTTAGCCTTAGCAGAACATTTACATGCACAAAACCCTATAGAACACACTACAGGAGAGGGAGAACCTCAAAAAGCATAATGGGGCCTCGTTAAATAAAATTTTAGACCTACCTTTTGCTTACTCCTTTCTCTTGTGTGCGTCCTGCAGATGTGCACTCCCAGGAACACGCCCGCCACGCCACCCAACTTCCCGGACGCCATCACCATGTTCTCCAAGCTGCGTGCGTCTGATTGCGGCCCCGGGTCCGGCAGCGGTTCCTCCATGGCGTGCTCCCCACCGACCCCCTCCTCCGGCTACGGCTCCTTCTGGGCGTCCTCGCCGCCCAGCCACCAGCCCGCCTGGCTGCCCCCATCGTCGCCAACAGGCCCCCACCTGCACCACCACTTCCACCACCACCACCTGCAACAGACTCCCATGTGGCCACCTGGAGCCCAGCCCAGCGCCGCCCCACAGCCCCCCGTCGTGTCCGCGCTGCACGGCCAGAGATGAGACTGAACGCGGAGGAGGGGGGGTGGTCAAGGAGCCAAATGTATGGGGAGGGTGGTGGGGGGGTCCATGTGTGGAATGAGAGGAAATGGAAAAAGACAAAAAAACTGTTTTCCTGTCTCATTTTTCTAAACCGAAGACTTCCTCTCCGTCTTCATCACACGCCGAGGAAACGAACGTTCTTTTTCATCCGGGATGCAAATCGGGCCCAGGACCCAGCAGAGCGCTCCGAGGATAGCAGCCATGAGATCTCATTTTTTATCTTTTAAAGACTCTTCTTCTTCTTCAGATGGTTCGGAAATATCTGGCAATAACCAGCAGAAAACAGACGGGATTCTAGACGTTTCCTTTACAGCTATGAACTGCTCGCAGAGAGATGCATCTACAGATGTCCTTTACCTGAGTCACACCAGATTTAGCACAGGAATAAAACCTGCTAATCTTTTTTTTTAAAGAAACAACGACCTGGAGGACAAAATCTTCTTTCTGCTGCATATTAAGAAAGATGTTTCCTTAACTTTCATCCTTTTGACGCGGTTTCCTGATCAAAACAAAGATGTTGCTTTATTTCTACGACGTGTAAACAAAATGGAAAATTGTAATGATCAGTTTGATAGAGAGCCTCTGTTCCAACTATGTAACTAGAATGCAATTTATATTTCAGTGTTTTTCTTTTATTGTGAAAATATCCAGTTTACTTTCCGAATTTAAAATGGAAACAAACTAAAACAGAGTGGTAGTGACTAATTTAGAAAAATAATCGCCAACTATTTTGATAAATAGTTTAAGTGATTTTTCATGCAAAACTGTCAGAGAATACTGTTTTCAGCCTCTTAAATATGTAGATTTGCTGATTTACTGTTTTATATCATAATAAAATAAATATCTTTGGGTTTTTGGACAAAGCAAGACATATATTTGGACTTTGAGAAACTGGTATGTAAATTTGTTCACATTATTTAACATTTTATAGACGGATAAATGAATGAATCCAGAAGATACGATTTTTTTCTGGGTCGCTATAAACAGAAACATAAAAGCAATATTAGGTCATTTGGGAAATCATAATTACTGTCATTATTTAACATATTAAGTGAACCACACTACGTACCGTTGAGGTCAGGTTATACATTGGCTTCCAATCGGAATCTTTTTACATTTTAATACAAAACTTAATGTGTCTGGTGTAGTAAAAACAGATAACGGACATATTTCTGACTAACTGGATCCTTAACAACAGTCCTATGTTTGGGATAAACAATCTTTTATGTTGCAGCAGACAGAATATTATTTAATCCAGATGGACAAAAGAGCGTGGAAGGTTTCAGTAAATCCCTTCAGAGACAGGAAGTGATGTCATGTTGAGTTGAATGGTTAAACGACAGTAGGGAATAACCTTTTGTAAAGTGCAAATATGATCGGTGAGTTAAGTAGAGCGGCAATCATTTAAATATTTTTAGATCTGCCACATTTATAAAGTCTTTTTTCTCAGACTAATTTCAGACCTCCTGTCATGGGAGAGGGGAGATTAAGAGACGGCTCAGATCCATTTCCTGTTTAGTGGTTATGAGGCACTTTTGTACCACAGCATAATATGGCCATTGTAGGTAAAAAAATAAATAAAGGATGGGTAATGTTTTCAGAAATAATCTGGATTTCAGAAATGAAAACCTTGTATTCACAAGATCACAAATGAAGGAAACCTTGCCATGATTATTAAAGCATTAATTTGCGAGAAAAAACAGAAGTATAAAGCTCAGATTAAAGGCATTCTTTTACATACAAATGTATGCCTTTACATTCTCAGAGAATGTTAGTTTTGGCATACATTTTTTAAATTATACTTTTTTTTTGTCTATTTCATTGTATATTCACAACTTTAATCTTTGATAATTTCTGACTTTTGTTTACTTGAGAATTAGGGATATTATTATCTATAAAAAAAATATAGTATTTTTACGAAGTATCACCCTCCTTCCTTGGTTATGTATTGTTGTTTGTTTACCTACAATGGCTCTAATGGACAGTTTTGTAAATAAAACCTTCAGCTGAACGTTTTCTGTCACGCTGATGATATAAATAATCTGATTTTGGAATATTTTTGTCCGGTGAGCTGCCTGCCTGTCTGCGGGGGGCATTTAGAGGCCAACTCAGTGATTTTTCACACAACCTTTGTGACGCTCAAACACTCCTACCTCTGTGTGGATGTGAGGCCCCTGAGCTCTGCCGTACCCTCCGCTGCAGACGGGATCAGAGAGTTGAAACAAGTTCAAACTGCTGCCGCTGCGGAAGAAGAATTTACAGCAGAGCTTCACAGCAGGCTAAACCCGGGATTTATTAGCTGGCTCCCTCACACAGGATCCCACGTATGTCACAGAAAATCACCGGGAGAATAGTGAAACGTTTAAAAAAAAAACTTCACTCCACAAGAAAGAGGAAGCAGGAATCAGGGAGGGACGGGATGCAGAGAAAGATGTAAAAACGGACTTTGTTGTTCACAGCTTCACACAGACAATCAACCTTCCTCTGTTTTCTGTAAGATTTCTGTTGGGTTCTTCCTTTCTGGGGGGAGGGCTTCACTTTTAAAGCTGTTACATCCCTTCAAATTCAACAACCTGATAAGATTATATTTCAAATCTGATACAGAAATGAAAATCCACCCTGATGTGTTTTACTCCTCTGGGCTCTGTTTGTCCTGCCAGTCTTTCTCTCTTCTTCTATCCTCATAAAAGGGAGTTTTTTGAAGGTGAGGGAGGATTTTTCCTGCAAATCAAAGGAGTTGAGAGGAATGCCGGATGTGTCAAATGTGACGGAAGAGTTTTTTGTGAGAGGACTAGTCGTCTAATTTAGTTTTTGATGGAACGAGTTGCAGGTTGCGGAGGTGTTTGTGCCGACGGGGAATAATTTGTCGGAGCTTCCTGCAGGGTTCAGGCTTATTATGGATCATTTAATCCTGATACAGTATGTCCCAACCACCCTGACGTTTTGATTGTTTACCTCATTTTAAACTTTTATTTTGCTCTTACCAGGTTTTCTTTCTCAGAAATTCACTGTTCTAATCCACGGCTCTTTTATAGAGATTTCTCTCGAGTACTTTCGGTTAATTTCCTCTGTTTAAATGTGTATTTATATGTTTAATAAAAACAAGGTATGATTTACTTTCTGTGTCTCAATTGCTTCATCACACTTTTGGTATTTACTGTAAGAGCTAAAAGGACGGAGAAAACAATAGTGACTTTCTTTCTGAGTGAGGCTGAGGACGGATGTGGTCGGAGCCGTTTCTCACCATTGACTTCAAGTCTTCACATGACACGAGTGCTTTATTGAAGAGGAAGTCTGGAGCTGCGTTCAAAGACACAACTCAAAAATGGGGATATAAGCTGCTGCTCAAAAAGGATATCAAAACAGACCACACTTTTTTTTACAGGTTGTTTGGTACATCATTGTTTTCAGGACTAAGAGGAACATAAGGAAAAGTAAAACCAAATATGATATATGCCCTTATTATGGGTTATTAGGGAGACATTTGTTTTTGTCACCCACTTGAGTAGTTTCTTAATTTCTTTGGCTTTTGAAAAAATTCCCAATTTTTCTTCTGCTTACTGTTTTAAAGAAAATGCGATATTTTGTTATTTTTTCGGATGATTCTACAATGTGTGCCATTTATAACATTTTGTCTGCAATCCCACAATATCTTTCTGAATTATTTGCGATTAAGAACGGTAACAGATCTTCAGGGAATGATGAGAATTTACAAAAACATTTCTGTCCTGAAAATTTTGTCAGAAATAGTTATTAAACCTATTTTAATTCAAATGTAACAACAATGTGTTTATATGCATCTTATTAGCTTATATGTTTTTGTATAAAATTAAAATATTCAAGTTAACCCTAAAATTGTATTAAAGTTGAGCACTTGAATGGCTTTCAATCTTAAACAAAAAACGTTAGAATGATCAACCACAGACTTAAAAAGTCACTTGAGATAAAACCACATTCTTCAATGACAGGAAATAATCCGATGGCACTTCAAGTAAAGTGAACCCCCCCCCTCTTCTTTTATAGTCAGCGTGTACTTCCTGCTCTCAGACGGAGTTTCTGTGAACAGGAAGTACCCAGCAGAGATGCACCCGGGGTCGTGACCTCCGGACACGTAATGCTGACAGTGAGGGGAACACCACATGCAAGAGTTTTATTACTCTGGCCGCCTAAATATATAAATATACATGTATAAATACTGTACGTTGTTTGGTTTCTCCTGGCTCTACAACAGGGCTGTCCAAACTACGGCCCGGGGGCCATTTTGAATCGGTCCTCAGCAAATTCTAAAATTATAATGACTTAAGTATAATAAACTTCTGCTTGTCTTATATTGTACTTCTTAAATATATATGTTCAAATATATTACACTGTGTTCATGTGTTAATAAGCCCACTTTTCAAAGAAATTCAGTCAATTAAAGTTAATTGTCAACTTAGATTTGTTGATCAAGAAATCTAAGTTGATAAGAAAAAAGCCCAATAACAAATATACATAACCTTGAAATACACCCTTCATATTTCCTCTTATTAAAAGCAATCTGAAGCTTCTGTTTTAAGGAATGAGCTGCCAACAGAATAAATGAAACCCATAGAGAGACGGGATGTAGGGTGTTTCTTTCTTAGAGCATTTTCTAGTATCACGAATAATGTACCTACATTGGATTGATTTAGCTATCTGAACTTAAAGGTCCCATGTCATGCTTTTCCGGTTATTACCCGTCCCCTTGTGTGTTATGAAGGTTTTTATGCATGTAAACGGTCTGCAGAGTCAAAACCCTCAAAGTACACCCTGTAGCGAGTAAAACTCTAACACAGAAAATACCTCCCCAAAACGCGTCGTTGGAGAAACGTCACTGTCCATTGATTCTTCTGGGTAACTCATGATGTCATGCGTTACCTGGAACCAAATGGACCAATCCGTGGAGCCGTTACGTTACGTCCGCGGAGCCGTTACGTTAAGCCCCCGCTGATTGGTCCAAATTGACCAACTTCCTCACACACACACACTCAGTGCATGCAGCTCTGCTGATCTCTCCTCCCTGGCTGCAGGCTGATAACAGACAGTTGGGAAATTCTCTCTGCAGACCCATTCTCACAGCGTTTATCAACCTTTTTCTTACTCAATATCCAGCCGCACTTATTGTTTTTACTTCGGCTGTGACTTTGTGTGTGCTCAGTAGACCCTCCAGAAAAACGCGATTCTGCGATCGCAGAATTGACCACATAATCAGCAAAATGGCGCAGATTTTTAAAAGGCTGCATATTTATCAAAAGGCCGTATAATCCCCGCATTTTTCCACACAAAGTTGAGAAGAAAAAAAAGTTAACTCGTCTTGACGTGACGTCATCAGCTCGCGCATCACAGAATGTAAACAACACTGTATAGAGTGAACGTGTGGAGCTCACAAGATAGAGAAAACACCAAGATGAAAAAATCTAATCCATCTCATTTACCGACGAACATTTCTACTAAAGAACCGGGCGAAAAAGTAGGGGGGAAACGTAATTCTGCACCCCCGTGCAACTGTGTGTTGGAGCATAAAGAGAA